GCTTGTAAGCGAAATTCCACTAGTATATTTATTTTTGTCTATCCAGTAGATAAAAATAAATATACTGTTTAATAAATAAATAAAATGTCTACTCAAATATGAGTATCCACTAAAAAAAAAAAATTATTTAAACTGATAAAAATCTATCAGATTAATGAATAAACAAATCTATTATGTTTTTTTAGAAAATTACTTTGTTTACGTTTGGATATAAAACGAAGCAAATATAAAAAATTACAAGAAGTCTAGAATGAGAGAAGTTTGGCTTAAAGGCATTATTTCAGCCTGATCAGCTAAGTTCTCTGTAGCTCAGTCAGTCAAGAGTACAGTGGATTCTTTACACACTCTATATGTCCAAAGAGATATCTTTATATACACAACTCTTTTTATAGACTTCATCATTTGTTTTGCTAAAGCAATAAAACGTTTCTCATCTATACATGGTGTTAAACTTCTGCTGGATTTACCTTTTTCACTCTGGTCACCTTCACTCCAAGATGGCTTCTCTCTGGGTAGCATGCATGCATATATATATATATATATATATATATATATATATATATATATAAGACTAGTTCAATGATTGTCCAATAATAATGTTATAACTATTCCCATGCAAACAACTCGTACCTGTATAGCTCTACTACCATTTTGCCATCGTACCTAAAATTCAATAAACATTAAATTATTTAGAATGTTTTCTTAATTTTTTAAGATTACTGGGTAGTCAAAATATTATAGAAAGAAGGAGCTCACATTATATTATAGAAGTAATTTTTACAGATATATCTCCCCACCCCATAGAAAAAATCAGATAAACTTCTGGCTGTCAGTCAAGATGCCAAGTTCTCAAGACCTTAACCTTCATCACTCGGTATGTGACTTCATTTGTTATACAAAAATTTTATTCTACCACTGAAGGTGAGTGTTCCCTGAACAATGGCGTGTTTGAATTTCATAGTTGTGCTGTTATATCCTGCTATGGCAACAGAAACAACTTTGAGTGAATTTAACAATAAAGATATTTCAACTGAGAGGCCTTGAAAAAAATGCAGAGAAAAGGGAAGTAATATTAATAAAGAAGAATGCTAAAGGTTAAATAAACACCCACCTCTATGTTAAAAAATGTTTTTCTACAATATTTTAAATTAAATATAAGTAATATTTGTTTCAAAATAGATTTATTAAACTTTATATTAGCTAATCTTGTTCAAGTAAAGTTTAAGAAAAGTATATTTTATTTTAGAAAGAATTATTTTCAGTGATTTTTAGCGATTTAAACAAAAACTCATTCCACTCAATTTAAATTCCGTCTAAAATACAATATTTTGCTTATTGGAAATGTTAAATTTAATCTATTAGCTTGAAAGTAAAATAAAAGCTTCAACAAAGATTTTTCATTTTTAAAATTTCTTTTTAAACCTTAGACATCACTTTTCTTTGGTGGGGTATATATATATCTTTATTCAAATATGTTTCATTGACTAATTTATTTTTATACTGATCCTTTCCAGTTTGCTAATCAGTTTCTTGATGTTAAGATGAAATTCATCAAGAAAGGCGCCATAGTTTTTTTTAACCTAAGTACTTTCAATCTTTTCTAAGATCATCTCCAAGGGTAAATTACAAAATTATTATAACTGCAATAACATCTGCATTCCATTGTAATAGTGATTTTTAAAAACACGTGTTCTGTTATGGTTTTAAAATTTTAGATTTATTCGTTGTCATTATGGAATTTTTTGCAAAACAAAATTGTGAAGGGAGACAGGAATGTGTAATTAAATGTTGTGCAATAGAACTTATGAAGAAAAGGATCAGTATAAAAATAAGTAGATACAATATATTATTTAATGAAACATGTTTGAATGAAGATTTGCTGCCTATATATATGTATATATATATATATATAATACTAGCAGTAGAGCCCGGCATTGCCCGGGGATGTAACAGTAAGAGATAGATCAAGTATCGACCATCATAAAGACTGAAAAATAAAATTGACAAAGATTATTGTTTAAGGTTGACAGACAAGCATGTCTTAATTAGTTTCTTTTTGGGTTTTTTTTCACGAATTGGTCAAACCCAAACTCAAACAAAAACATTGTTTTCAATCATTATGACTTATGAGTCTATTGATTGAATAGAATTTTATTATAAACAATTGTCTTGTAAATGGAATTTTTAAAGCATTCTGAATGTAAAAATAAAGAAAAAAGTGTGCAAGACAATAAGAAACACTACCTGCCAAAAAAAAGTGAAGTTTTGTTGAAATCGGTTGAAAAATGTAGGAAATCTGATCACATATATAAAGGAACACACACACAAACAACCTGGGTTTTATAATAAGTATAACACGATATGAGTTGTCCCCCTTTCATTCTGGCGACAGAATCGTGTTTTCAAATTGATTTCATGCAAAAACAATTGTGTTTTTCCAATTTTTGGCGCTGTCAGAACCACCGTAAGGTAATTTTATGTAGTTCTGTGATGTTTTGTTGAAATCGGTTGAAAAATGTAGAAAATCCGATCCAATATATAAACATACAGACACACACACAATCTGTGTTTTATAATAAGTAAGATACTTTATATCAAAAACATCTGTTTTTTAGAAGTGAAAAATCATATCCATAAAAGAAATTATTGCTTACTTGTCCCCAGAATTTACCTTTTAAACCACTTTGCAAACAACCATTTCATTGTTTGAATGGCATACATCAAAGAACGCAATGAGTCACATCCGGCTTGCGATTACATTCACAAGCATTCAGTTATATTACAATGCACCATGTGTATAGTAATTTCACAATTTATTAAAAAAAAAAAAAAAAAATCACTATAAAATCAAACTTGTAAAATTAAAACTTATTCTCTTTAAAGGGTTTTCTCCTATAAATGTAAGTCTATTTTATTTTAAATGTCGAATTCCCTGAATAATTCAAAAATCCTATTTACATAAAATTCTTTTTCAAAGATTCTCAGAAAAAAAAGAAAAGAAAGTGGATCATATTAATTTTGTTAACCGAGATATTATATATTCAGTCGAAATCATGAGACTTTGCTTTAGAAATTTGGACAACCTAAGCTGCACTTAAAAATAACAATTTCCAGACTTTCCATAGAGCAAGATTTAGCAGGTGAGTTTTGTAGCTTATAATGAATTGGTTCCCATTGTCAGTGGATACCACTCACTCATGGTCTTGTGTCAGACTAGCTTAGTGTTTTATACAATATATAAAAAGTGAATGACTGAAGAAAAAAAGAATAATTTTGAAAAAAAGAAAAAAAGCCTGAAAAATAAGAAAAAAATAAAAATGGAAGACATGAATGATAAATGGAAAAAGAAAAGAAAGAGCTAAAAGAACGAATGAACAAAAGAAAGAAGAACAGGAAATAGAAAGAAAGAAAGGAATGGAAGAATGAGAAAAAAAGAATGAATGAAGAGATAGGAAAATGAGAGAAAGAAAAACAAAAAGAAATAAAAAAGGATTGGGTGACTGAAGAAAAAAGTATGAAGAATAAGAAAAAAAAGAACAAATAGAGAAAAAGAAGTATTGATAAATGAAAAAGGAAAGAAAATTTAAAAAACAAGAAAATAAAATAAGAAAGAAAAGAAGGAACAAAAGAAAGAAGGAACTTCTCTCTCTTTGGTTTCCTATTTCTTTCTTCCATTTCAAAAGGAAGAACAAAAAAACAGGAGAAGAAAAGTAAGAGAAGAAATAAAAGGTAGGTATAAAAAAAAGGAAATAAAAGAAAGTAAAAAAGAAAGAAGACAGAAAGAAAAAATAATAGAAAAAAGGAAGAAAAAAGAACGAGTGAAAACAAAGAAAGAGAAAGAAGAAAAAAGAAAGAAAAAAGAAAGAAAAAAGAAAAAAGTAAAGAAAGAAATTAAAAAAATAAAACTCCTCTTTGATTTGAGTCAAAAATCATTTTTTTTGATCTCAGGAGTCGATTTTGTTTTCAAGGCAGGTCATTTTAAAACTAAGTCTATTGATTATGGTGACTGATGATAAACATCAAAAGACGTAAACACACACACTGTACTCCACATATACATTTAACCTTTTCTAAGCAAACACATACTTTGCCCGATATACCTTTTCTGAATAGCCTCATCAAATAATTTGTCATAGCTTTTCCATTCTTAACACACTTTGATCTAATTGTACTTAAAAAATTTCAAAACTTTTGTAAACCTCAAATGAAATTTAATTTCCTTGACTTTTCAAATGAGAATGTTGAAAGAAGTTAAAAAAAAGTATTAATCATCAACTTTTTAATACAAATATTGTTATCATCTAAACGTCTGTAACTTAAATTTTGGCTTAAGCTGAAAGAGTCTATTCAAAATTTTACTAGTCAAGCTATAAAAAATTCAATTATATATATATATATATATATGTGTGTGTGTGTTTGTGTGTGTGTGTGTGTGTGTATGTATCAACTCATCTCACCAATCTTTTCACATTGATAAGTATTCATCATCTTGCGGCCTCAGCCGAGATTGAACTCACCATTACTTTGATTGGTGTAGTTCATAATCTTGTCAAATAGCTGAATTCTTGATGCTTCGCTAGGGCTACCAAGGGTGTTTTTATCGTGACACCATCACTAAATGGATTGCCAACCAAGGATCAGAGAGACTCCATTCACCCTCCTCTAAGAGCAGGTTTGAATTCAGAGTTTTCCTTCTCCTAGACCAGTTGCCATCCAAGGCTATAGAACCCAGTCTGTCCTGCTATTTACCCATAGCTGGAGGGAAAAGAAAGAGGATTCACACCTTTCCCAAGGGTGTTAGCACGTAAGTGAATGTACTGGATTCGACTGGAATTCGAACTCGGCTCTCTGATTCCTCAATTCAAGCCGCTATCCATTACGCCACAGTGCCTCCTTGATAACTATTACATGGTTGTAGAAATAAAGTTAACAAATGCCAGTTTCAAACAAAAACAGACAACAGTATTAAATAGAAAAAAGGTTCTTACAGACTGACTTACCAAGATTTCAGCACTACATCCCATCTCCATAGAAATAATCAGCATTTTTGACAAGGCTGGATCCAAAGGAAATTCCACCATTTGACGGCCAAGTGGTGTTAACATTCCGGTATTATCCAAAGCACCAAGAATCCAAAGTTGGTACATGGAATTCAATATGTTATCCTGGAGAAAAGATACATAAACGTTATTCTCAGAGACAACTATTTAGTTTCGCAAAAGGTTCGTATCACACTTCACTAGTGAAACCTACAACATGACAATGTTTAACAAATCGTAATCACTTTGAACTTTTACTGATACAAAATGGAGAATAGGGTTATGACTTTTTTGTAACCCTATGTTCCTGTCTCATAAATCGATGAACTTTTGTTCAAAAGTAATAAAAAAAGTATTAATTTATTTTAGTTCTTGAAAAAGGTGCCACCAAATCAAAAATTCAAATTTACCATATACATAAGCATAAAAAAAAATTTCAGAAGGTTTATTTTTCAATTTGCTCATGATGTAATTAGATAGTACTTATTTACTTATTTTTAATGCATTTAACAGTTTATAGCTATAGCATAACACACAAACTTACAAATAAACAAAAATCAAGTTCTAGAAGGCTCCAGGAAGTTCTGGAGGGTTCAAGAAATTTTTAGATCTCTAGAAAGTCATAGTACTACTAGACTGATATACAGTTTTAGAAATTTTGTGATGGGGTGACATTTTTTTTTTAAATAAACTGAATTAAACCCTTCTTCATTGTTTTTAAATAAAAGTTCAAATTATGATACAGGAAAATAATTCTTTTAGAAAAAGTCAAAAAGTTATAACGCCTAATAGAGAATCATTTTAATTAAATCACTGATGAAATACAGATACTTTTTTTTTTTTTTTTTTTTTTTTTTTTAGCAGATTTGCTAGCAAATTAAAACCTGTTACTTGTGTACCACTCCATTGCATTAAGAAGAAATATATTGTTCTATATATTTAGTAGGAGATCTCAACCTCAGTTTTTTTTTTTTTTTTTTTTTTTTTAAATTATTCAGTACTGGATCTGAGACCTCAGCTTGAAATATTTTTGATTGAGATTTGTGCGTTTCTGTAATGTTATCTGCTAAAAATATGAGACTGAATTTTTCAGGCATAAAACAATTTTTTTTTTTTTTTTTTTTTTTTTTACTTCTGGACTCAATCAAATTAACGCCAACCAAATCAATGATATGTGGTTTAGGGTCTTTCTTCAAACATATTCAATCTTCTTGCAAGGAAGTGAGAGATTCTGCTTCTCCCCTCATAGGTCAGTCATTTATACAATCCAGTCATCTTGTGTGTATATATCCTAAGTTCGGCTGGGTTCACTTGTTTGTTTTATGTTAGTGCACCCAGTGACATCATTTAAGGCCCAATTCTATACTTGGTGGCTCTGAGGTTACCTTCTAAATCAACACTGGAGGCAACACAGGTCTTTTAAAATTCTATGGTGGAGTGTCTTTTAGTTTAATCTGTCTTACAGAGTGTCTAATCAAAACCAAATTGACAGCACCCGTGAGAAATTGCTGTCCGTGTCTCTATAGTCATTTATTCCCAGTAAATAGCAATTTCCAATTTTGTCCAAAAATAGGTGAGCACAGCCAGGATACAATGTGATGACAATGCAGCAGTGAAAGAGTTAAATTAGGTACCACCACCAAAAATGTTCTTAAAAAGAACATATCATGATGAAAAAAGACTCAAAACTTGATAAAAACAAAGTTTATCATTAAAATATCTATGTTATTATTAAGAGGAAAGACCAAAGTATTTTCTGATTATTAAATTAAATTCTTTAATTTCTTCGAGCACATTTGAAATTTTGATTAAAAATCTTGTTTTTCTTGTGTCAGTTGGTGGGTCAAAAATTACTATGAGAAATTTAGTGTTTTTTTTATGGTAAAATCACATTGTCTTGAAAATTCTTGTAAAAAAAAAATCAAATAATAGTTGGATTTTAATGTAATTTTCAGGACTTATTCACAAATGAATTATTTATTAAATTTTTTGGGAAAATCTTGGTAAAAATATATTTTTAATTTTTTTTACATCTGTTAACTCCACTTAATTTTATGAAATTTTGAGTAATTAAAATTCCACCTTCTTCATTATTTAAATCATCAATTTGTTTTTGTCAAACAGAAACACCATTTGCTAAAAATCTGCTCTGAATTGTAAAATAAAAAAATGCAATAAAACTATGACATTATTTAATTAGAAAAGTTTTTAATTGCTTCTATAAATAAGATATATTAAGATAGGTACCTCCACAAGATCACTAAAAAAAAAAAAAGAGTATAGCATGATGAAAAAGACGCCAAACTTGACAAAAACAAAATTTTATCATCTAAATGTTTATGTTATTATTAAGAGGAAAGATCAAAGTATTTTGGGGATATTTTTTTACATTTTTAATCATTCCTAACACATCCAAAATTTTTCATTAAAAATCTTATTTTTTTGAGTCAGCAAAATTGATCATTTTTTTTCCATTTTTCTCACTTTGAAATTCTTTTAAATATCAATTATCATTTTTTCAAAATCAGAAATTTTAAGAAAATCAGAAATTATAATGTTTATTTAAAATATTTTGAACCAAGCTTAACTTAGCTTCTGCACCGAAAAGAAATAATTTGAAAATAAAACAAAGCAGGTCATAAACTTTCGTGTCACTTGACAGGTGATGAATGACATATTGACGGATTCCGTGAGGATAATTTGTTCTACGGAAGGAGAAAAATGAAATAATTTACATTTAAGTGAACAAATTATTTACCTCATTATTTTTAAAGAAAACTTTCAGCGCTCTAATTTTTTTTTTTTTTTTGTACTTAGCTTTCACCTTTACGATGCTTTATGGAAAATATATTCTAAAGAAATTAAAATAAGACTGTTAAGAATGAGATTAAATTTCATAAGAAAAAGGTATCTAATTAATTTAGGTACCTTTCTTATGAAATTTTATCAGAAGTGTACATAAAATACTATAATTTTATGTACATTTATTACATTTTACTGTGTTATTTGTATTTCCATTCATTTTATTATTAATTTTGATATTTCATTTATGGAAAAATGTCATAACTGAGATTAATATAAAAATAAGATCATATAAATTTCATAAGATGATACTGATACTTCTCAGTCAAAATTGAAAAATCAAATTAACTTCTCCACATGTGTTTTGCAAAAGTAAAGGCCTTAACAGTGGAGAACAATGCTTAACTCAATTGTATTTTGGTTGGTCTTCCATACTTTATAATTACAGCCCGATTATAAACACAAAATTACATTTCTTAATTACTGCGGATCTTCTGATGAGTCAAAATGATACAATTTACAATGTGCTAAAAAACGATCTATCTCATAAGGACACTTAGGAAACCCGATGCGGCTTTTAACTAATTTTATAATTTAACAGCTTAAATGTAAAAATCTATTATAATTAAGAAATAAATAATTGTATTAAAAATTCATTTTTCATCGAAAAAACTTTTTGCTTTCACAAAATATTGTCCATATTCATAAAAGCAAATAAAAGCATTTTAAATTAAATAATATCTTTGTTTTATTATGTTACAATTCAGAGCTGATCTTCAGGTGGGGGGGGGGTCCAATTAAAAGCAAAAAAAAACATGATTTGCATTCCTCAAAGCCTTGTGCTTTTAACTATTGTAATCACTAAACCCGATGCGATCGAATTTCTAGCGTTTTCATAAAATTAGTTATGGGGGTGGGGTAATAAAGAAAAAAAAATATTTCTGCCATGACTTTAATAAAAAAAAAAACATATTTATAATAATTTCGATCATCTGTGAATAGTTCCTGAAAGTTTCATGAACATCCGACAATTATTTTTATTTTGCAAGGTTTTCCAAATTAATGTGTATCATACCAAAAAAGCATGTTAAAAATTGTCTGTTATTTTACTAGTTCTGGTGATACAAAGAGAAAGAAGGTTTTTTTAATCAAAATTTAGAATGTTCTAAAAGGAAGGAAAAATTTTTTAAAATAATTAAAAAAAAACTTTAGTCTTTTCTCTTAATAATAACACAAGCATTTAGACGATAAAATTTTGTTTTCAGCAAGGTGGGCGTCTTTTCACATCAAGCTATGCTCTTTTTTTAGCGATTTCATGGAGGTACCTATATTAGGAACACTATTGTCTTAAGAAAATTGTTTTTAATGAATAATGAATTTTTACAAGAATTGTTTTCATTTCTTTTTTAATTTTAATTAGATATATTTATTAAGTTTTATATCTTTTAAAATTTTGTATAAATTTCAGCCTTTTAGATATTATCAAGTGAAAACTATATTTACTAATCATAAACAGAAAAGCTTAATATAAATCATCAAACACCAATATTTTTAAAAGAATTTTGAATTTTTCTTATTAGTGCATAAATGTGCCGATTTTTGTAAGTACAGGAGATGGTACATAACATTATCAGAAAATAAGAGTGATAACTATAGTAAATCTAAAGCCAAAATTTCTAAAATTCAATAAAACATCAGATTACGGAGAATGTTTTCCTAAATTTTTAAGATCACTGAGTATTTAAAAATTAAATAAAAATGGCACTCATGCCATTTTCTTCAATTATGTTTTACAAATAAAGTCTCCGTAGAACATTAGATCTGTCAACACATCTACTGTCTGGCTAAAAATTTTGAACTTAAAGTAAATAATATTTATTTCAAATCAGTTTAATTATAATTTAAATTAGCTAATGTTCCTCAAATAAAGTTTCAGAAAAGTATATTTTATTTTTGGAAGATTTTTTTAATAAAAGAGAATTACATTGCAATGAAAAATGACTAAAAAGGGTGGAAAATCAGATATTTTAGCAAAAAAAAAAAAAAAAAAAAAAAAATTCTTTCTAATCAATTTAAATTAGTTTTTGAAATACATATTATTTGCTTATTGAAATTTTAGCTTGAAATTAAAACTAAAATAAATGCTTCAAGAAAGCTTTTTTTTATTTTTAAAAATTAATTTTAAACCTTAAGTATTGCATTTTTTGTGGAGGTCTATGTTAAACGGACTGCCAAATTTCAAGTCTTCCTCATCAGCTACAATAGAGGACAATTCTTGACATTGAACATTAAACATACAACTGGAAATGTTCAAAAATTTATCCTAAATCAAATAATGGTAATTATTTTTTCATTTTATGCCATTTTAAGTAACAAAGGAAAACCTGTATTTAGTGAGGATAAAACTCACTGCTAATCTCTTTTGAGAAGTGCTTTTTGAGTATTTCACTACAACAGGTACGCTAATCCAGAAATCATTTCAACCCAAGCAACCCAATTGGATAACTCCAAAGAGATAATTTAAAAAATTTTGCTCTCTATCCCAATGAAGATCATCACTTGCTATTATTACCTGAAATAAGATGATTGACAGTCATAAGTCCAATTCAGCTGCATGCATAATTTGTTTGTAATTAAAAGCATTGGCAGATATATACCTGAGGGGGAGGGTCCATGAAATGGAAGTGTAAGAGATCTTGTACCCCAAGAGATTTCAAGAGAAGCACCACATTAGCCAAGTTGGTCCTCTGGATCTCAGGAACCGTAGTAATCAGCATTTCATCTTTATACTGCCGCTCAGTGTACAAACGAAAACATTGACTGGATATAGAAAAAGGAAAAAAAACGTTTATAGCATAAAGGTAAGAAAGGTTTGTAAGAGAAAGGATAATTTTTTTTGATAGAGTAAAGGTATGAAAGTTTATAGATTAGGAGAAATAAAAATTTATGAAGCAACGATACTAAAAAAAAAAAAAAAAAAAAAAAAAAAAGTGGGGGGCATCGTCACAGAACCAAATAAAAATAAATGTTTATATTTTACTACCAAACTTCTTGATAAGCAGATGGTATATCTGCCAAATTCTGAGTCAGAAAGATGAATACTTAATCCATTGCTAGAGTCAAGATATTAAAGATCTTTGGAGCAGTTCTAATCAATGTTGATTGAACAGGGGAGATACAAGTTAATTTCAATGGAGAAGTTTAATATTTTTTTGTTATAGCATAATTCAGCATAATTTTAACTTCTCAATTCATATAAATCAAATGATGGAAAAAAGTCAGAAAACAATTTGACAGATGAAAAAAGCATGAGATTTTTAATAAGCATGGCTCACATCTGGTTAAATTGCATCATCTGCATTTGCATTTAATATCGAAGAAATATTTCTGAAAATACTTACCCTGGTCCAGTTCTTCCTGCTCGTCCTGATCTCTGATTAGCATTTGCCTGGAAAATAGATAAGAAGATAAGTTTTATTTTAAAATGGTATGAAATTATATATATATATATATATATATATATATATGTGTGTGTGTGTGTGTGTGTGTGTATATATAGTAGCACTACTTGGAGTTTCACACACACACACCTCCCACATGATGTCTGCTAGTCTACAACATGCCTCCCCCCCATACCAACCAAAATATTTTTCCAAAGTGACTAAACTGTGCATATTTAACACATTTTCAGGCAAAAAGCAAAAAAGATTCTTGAATAAATGAATGAATAAATGTATTTTTTAGATCTTTTTAGGTAATGAGCGTGATTCAAAACAAAAAATCTGACAATATTGCCCCCCCTCCAAACATTAAGAAATGATATAAAATAAAGATAATGTCAAACATTAGCAAATGTTCTGACAGAATAATTAAGATAACAAAAGCTATTTACTTCAATGTTTCAACTTGCTTGCTTCCAGATAACATTCAGCAGTTGGTAAATCATTTGCAGACCCACTGCCATATTTCAATGAATCAGGATTTTGTGCAAATAGAACCAACACCAACAATTATAAGAGGCCGGGTGATTTTATTACATGTCATCCCTTGTCGGGTTATTTAATACTGAATTTTGTATGATAATGATAATATTAACCATTTTCTTATAAAGAAACATCCATTATTCACTGACTGCTACTGTCTTCACTCTCTGGCCATCAAGTTGGGATCAAAGTGTAGTATCTATTCTTCTCATAGTAATGATAGTATTAGTCATTTCCTTATAAAGAAACATTCAGGATTTGTTGAATGAGCTGCCAGTGCTACTCGAATTACACTTATCCTCACTTTCTGGTCATAGAGATGGGATCAAAGTGTAGTATCTGCCTTTGAACAGACTGACTACATTTTATTGATTTCCTATATCATAATTTGATGAACATTTATTAAAAAATAATGAAGAAGGGTTTAATTCAGTTTATTTAAAAAAAAAAATGTCACCCCAACAGGAAATGTCTAAAATTATATATTAGTAGTACTATGATTTTATGGAACCTTCTAGAACTTGTTTTTGTTTATTTGTAAGTTTGTATATTATGCTGTAGGTAAAAACATTAAAAATACATAAGTTCTATCCAATTACATTATTAGGAAATTGAAAAATAAAGCTTCTGAAATGTTCTGATTTTTTTTACTCTTATTGCATATATGGTAAAATCAAATTTTTATTTTGGGGTGATATCTTACCAGAAATAAAACAAATTAATGTCTTTTTCATTATTTTTGAACAAAAGTTCATCTATTTATGATGCAGGAATATAGGGTCACAAAAAATTCATAATCCTAATTATATATATATATATATATATGTATATAACTTCAAATATTATAGTAGATACTTCATACTTGAAATAGATGTTCCATTTATTAAAGAATGTGTATTCCATCTAATCAGGCTGGGTTTCTTGTAAAGAAAATGTTCCCCCAGCAGGGATTGAATCAGCTGGTGTTCCCCTTTGTTTCTTTACTAGCATTTCTTAGTTAAATGCAAAGGTAGAAAAACATAATACACACTGTTTAATAAATAAAAGTAAAAGCTGTTAATAGTTCAGAAAATTGACAAATCTTGATAACATTTTGTCAAGACTAACTTAAAATAAAATTATTCACAAAAAGACTTTGAAATAATATGAAAGAGAATCTGTGGTAATAAAAATGGAATTTTAAGAATCTGAAGTCCTGACCTGAAATATTCTTAAAAAATGACCCCAAAAGAATCTAGCAATAATGATTTCTGAACACCAACCATTTTCTTTTTTAATTGCCAGTCATCAAAACTATACGCTGTTATCTGGAGTGTATAAAATTCAGTTAGAGCCTGGATTTTAAACAAACTATTGCAAATGTATGTTAATTAGCATTAAGCAGCATTTTTTTGATGTCTTATGAATTTGTGAACAAAGCAAGAAGTCTAAAATTACTTTTGTATCCACAGGAGATTCAAAAAAGAAAACAGATTCTGCTGTTAGGTTTTTCTTTTATTGGACACCAAATCTTGTAAGTACACAAAGATCACTTACAAAAAAACACTTCTCTTCACAAAACTGTTCATTCGTTATTCTTATTTAGAAAATGGTTGCCACAAGAGTCATTGATTTCTCCATATTTACCACCATGAACACCCCCCCCCACTAAATGTAACTGCCAACTGGGCTTCTGCTATAACATTTGAATTGATTTTTTTTAACTCAAAACCTCTCAGAAAGATACACAGTATTGTATATATTAAGGAGTGATTCAGCAAGAGATTGTCTATCATATGTAAAACTAATTTAGACTTACTAAGCCAATAGCTTCAGTGGCTTACAAGCTTCTAACAATCCGAGTATATACATTGCCTTATCATATTGCTTTGTACACATAAAATTGCGTATGTAATTGTTATAACATCTTCAGTACACGTTTTTGCACATATTTAGGACATCATTTTCTGTATCCTTTTGCTGTTGATAGCATTTTACCAAAATAAATTGTGTAAAATCATTTATTCTTACTGTGTTACAGATCACCAAAAGTTAGCACAACAATATTATAAAGAATTCTAAGAATCTTCCTTAATCAATAAATGCTAAGTCCTATTATATTTCTTACTATTCAGATCAAAACACTCATTTTGGTCATATTCACAACATTTCAGCCATTATACTCTCCATCCTTCTTCAGGTGTCTATCATACGCGATAACCTTCTTGGAATTTTGAACCCATCACTTTACACAATTTATGTTCTCATTTCACGTTCAATACTTAGGGGAGATAACTAGTATCAGTTGATTCTTTCTACTATAATCACTTTTTTAGAGTTGCTTATACATTTTGTCTTTTTAACTGCAATTGTTACAATAGACATCCTCGGACTGAGATAACAACTGCTACAAAACACAATATAAGCCAATACATTAATCCACTAAGCCACTTGGACAAGTGGACACTTGGAGAATTAAACCTAATTCATGTACTCTATGAGAAATTTTGAGTGTCCTTTCATATAAGGACATATATATGTTTATATAGATGAACACCATCAGAGAGCCTCTAATTAAGAAAGGATATTTAAAAATTGCATCACCTGTGTACAGGTATTAGGTCTAATGCTCCAAAATGAAACTAGATTGTCCAAGAAACACATAAACTAGTTGCTTAAAGTGCATCTAATTTCCTGCCAGTTGTGAGTTTAATCTCTCAGTTAGGTAATATGGAAAAATTATTCTGGTCCAGCGAAAGAAACAGACAAAAAAAAAAGTCAAATAGATTAGAAAGGATCAACTAATACGAAATATCTCCTAAGCATAGAAATCAAAATGACAAGACTTTACTTCCTCCACAGATTGATTTAAGGATTATCAAGTACTAGCAGTAGAGCCCGGCGTTGCCCAGGGATGTAACAGTAAGAGATAGATCAAGTATCGACCATCATAAAAACTGAAAAATAAAATTGACAAAGATTATTGTTTAAGGTTGACGGACATGCATGTCTTAATTATTTTTTTTTGTTTTGTTGTTTTTTTTTATGAATTAGTCAAACCCAAACTCAAACAAAAACATTGTTTTCAATCGTTATGAGTCTATCGATTGAATAGAATTTTATTATAAACAATTGTCTTGTAAATGGAATTTTTTAAAGCATTCCGAATGTAAAAATAAAGAAAAAAGTGTGCAAGACAATAAGAAACACTAACTGCCAAAAAAAAGTGAAGTTTTGTTGAAATCAGTTGAAAAATGTAGGAAATCCGATCCCATATATAAATGAACACACACACACAAACAACCTGGGTTTTATAATAAGTATAACTCTATATGAGTTGTCCCCCTTTCATTTTCGCGATGACTCTTAATTGTGTTTTCAAATTGATTTCATGCAAAAACAATTGTGTTTTTCCAATATTTGGCGCTGTCAGAACCACCGCAAGGTAATTTTACGTAGTCCTGTGAAGTTTTATTGAAATCGGTTGAAAAATGTAGGAAATCCGATCCAATATATAAACGTACAGACACACAGACACAACCTGGGTTTTATAATAAGTATGATGATGACAGACATGCAGGGAAGGTTAGAAGAGACAGCAGCTAAAATAGTACAAGCCTAACGAGCAAGACAAGTATGCTGGCCTGAACAACAACATGTATAACAATGATCTCAAAAATTCTGACAGCGATAGGAAGACATTTTGTTTGTTGCCTGAATTTCTGAGATGAGAAGTTATCATCATTAACACTGTTTATATTCAAACTATTGTCCTCATTTTTGTTGTTTTCATCACAACATTTTGGCCATTATGGCCTTCCTCAGGTGTATATTGACCTGGATGACCCAAAACAATATACACCTGAAGCCCTGATTACTTAACTTTCTATTTGTACTAATATTCCCATCTAACTTGTTAAACAAATTTCAGCCTTTTCCGGTGCTTGTCATAATCAATAATCTGCTCAAAATTTAAAACCAAACCATAAGCAATTTGGTTTTACTGCAAGAAAACAGAATGCATAGTTGTCACGAAAGGGACAGCCCCAAATGCAGATTACAAATTGGAGATATCAAAATCAAACAAGTACAAAAAATGAAATATCTGAAAAGTGTTTTAAAAGAGGTTAGAAAGTGTTACACTGAAATTCAAAGGTGCATTGGGATAGCCAAAAATGCAAAGATAAGCAAAGTATTAAGACACAGAAAAATTTCATTAGAAGCAAAGAGTACTGAACTGTTATATGATATCTGTCCTTCTATATAGCAGTGAATGTTGGACAATCTCCTCACAAATGAAGAAGAGCCTTGCAGCACCAGACACGTGGTTCTATAGAAGGATACTGAGGATAGCAGGAAACAAGCATGTGAGCAACGATAAAATTTTTTGAGAAAATGGGAACAAAAAGGAAACTTTATACTTCAGGAAGAGAGAGCTGAAATTTTGAAGGCACATAATGAGGAAGGAGGGCTTGGAAAATTTGAC